TCTCTCTCTCTCTCTCTCTCTCTCTCTCTCTCTCTCTCTCTCTCTCTCTCTGTTTCTCTTTCTCTCTCCCTCTCCTTCTCAACAGCCATCAAGAACGTCCGGGAAGGAACGCGGAGCCCAAGGACCGCTCACGACATGGGCCTCAAACGGACCTATGAAGCCATGGAAGGAAACATCAAGCAGGCAATGTCAATGCGAGAATCTCCCGTCTCGACGCCTTTAGAAGGTAAGCTTGGCTAGCAAATTCCTCTTTGTTTGCAAGAATTGGGTCTGTCCAGTTGAATGAAGAGAAGGATTAGGAGTAACATGATAGCAGCATTCCAGTATCTCAGGGGCTGCCCCAAAGAAGAGGGAGTCAAGCTGTTCTCCAAAGCGCCTGAAGGCAGGACAGGAAGCAACGGATGGAAACTCATCAAGGAGAGAAGCAACCTGGAATGAAGGAGGAATTTCCTGACAGTGAGGACAATTAACCAGTGGAACTGCTTGCCACCAGAAGTTGTGGGTGCTCCTTCAGGTTTTCAAGAAGAGGTAGCCTCTGAAATGGTGTAGGGTGTCCTGCGTGAAAATCAGAATCAGCTGGAAGGGAGACTCTATATCGTTTCAGACTGTCTAGTCTCTTCTTAAAAACCTCCAGCAATGAAGCATTCACAACTTCTGGTGGCAAGCTGTTCCAGGGGTTAATTGTTCTCATTGTGGAGAAATTTCTCCTTAATTCCAAGTTGATGAGTTTTTCCATCTGTTGCCCTCCCTCCCAGGAATGGAATGGAAAATGGAATGGAATAATAACTTTATTGTCACTGTGAATGTACACTAATTAGTATACATTAAAATGAAATTTCATTCCATTGAGCTCTCAAAGGGTCACCACCTCCAATACACACTACATAAATATGGCAACCATCTATCTATATAAATAAAAATGTAAATGTTCGTTTGTTCAAAATCTTAAATCTCCGAAAGTTCTTCACCGATTGATTTGAAATTTTGACACAACGTTGCATTCAAATACGCGCGTGTTTTTATATACCTATATTATATAGATGTCACACCTGTGACAGGTAAAAACATGCTTTTGTTTGAAAAACAGCGCCATCTGTTGGACGTAAAAGCAACACACGCTTTTGCCAGACTGAGCCACAGCAACGCGTGGCTGGGTACAGCTAGTAATAAATAAAATAAATCCGTTGTGAAAAAAGCACCGTTGGGATATATTTTGCTATATTTTGATGTGTCTTAGCCGGCCAGTCTTGATGGCCACACCGATGTGCAGACGCTGTGTCGTTCCTGGACAAAATGAAGCTTCAAACAATGTTTCTAGGACAGGGCTTTTCAACCAGTGGTAGGGGTACCACCTGTGGTCCATTGGCACCTGGCAGGTGGTAGGTGACCATCCTAGAAAAGTGGCAGTGTGGGAGGGGAATGAGCTGAACCGGTGGCAGCACCGCACAAGCCTGAGCGAGAGACGGCTGGAGCTGCAGGGCTGTCAGGGCTCAGCGGAAGCGCCAGGATCAGCGCTAGGATCCAGCTGGAAAGCAGCACTGATCCTGGGGCTTCTGCTGAGCCCAGAAGAAGCGCCGATCAGCTGGACTGTTGCAGCATCTCCAGGGTCTTGTGATTTACATTCAGATGCTTGGCAACCGATTCCTATTTATGACGGTCACAGTGTCCCAGGGTCATGTGAAGGGACCAAAACCTGCTGCAACCATCCAGCAGACGGGGGGAATAAAGACCAAACACCCCCCCACCCCACCCCCACTGCCAATCCTCAACAGAAATGCTCACAACAATGAAAACCTCGGACAGGAGGAAGAACGCGGCCGGGCGGGCAGGCAGGTGTCTTGCTCAGTTGTGGCTTGGGGGGCACTTTTTTCAGGGCCACTGTAACTTCGAACAGTCACCAAGCGAACTGTTGTAAGTCGAGGACTATCTGTACTTTATCACTTTTTCCCTTTTTTTTTTTGGTCATCAAGTTTTTGATACTGTGCTAGGTGATTGGTGGTACTCGGATATTGCCAAATCCTAAAAGTGGTACAATGGGTGAAAAGGTTGAAAAGCCCTGTTCTAGGATATAAATGCATCGCTATTGGCTTCCTCGGAAATGTGTTGAAATTCGCCAAATATCGTCAGAGATACAACTGAAACAGGGAGATGTTGTTTTCAGTAATGGCACTTCTGTCTTTTAGGCTTAATCTGCCGGGCTGTGCCTCAAGGCAGCCCCCACTCCGACATGAAGGAGAGGACTGTGTTGGCGGGCTCAATAATGCAAGGTAAGAAAAAGACCAATGCTCCACTCCCTCCTCTCTTCCCCCCCTTTCCCCCCTCCCTCCATCTCTTCTCTCCTAACTGCTTGCCTTCAGACGTTGTGGGTGCTCCATCACTGGAGGTTTTTAAGAAGAGACTGGACAGCCATTTGCCTGAAATGGTCTAGGGTTGCCTGCCTGAGCGGGGGGTTGGACTAGATGGCCTCCAAGATCTCTGGCAGCTATGTTATAATGATGATGATGATAGAGTTGGAAGGGACCTTGGAGGTCATCTAGTCCAACCCCCCCCCCCACTCAGGCAGGAAACCCTATACCATTTCAGGCAAATGGCTGTCCAGTCTCTTCTTAAAGACTCCCAGTGTTGGAGCATTCACCACTTCTGGAGGCAAGGAGTTCCACCGGTCAATTGTTCTCACTGTCAGGAAGTTTCTTCTTAGTTCTAGGTTGCTTCTCCCCTTGATCAATTTCCATCTGTTGCTTCCTGTTCTGCCTTCAGGTGCTTTGCAGAATAAGTTAACCCCCTCTTCTCTGTGGCAGCCCCTCAAATATTGGATCACTGCTATCATGTCCCCCCTTGTCCTTCTATTCTATTCTGTTCTATTCTATTCTATTCTATTCTATTCTATTCTATTCTATTCTATTCTATTTTCTATTCCATTCTATATTCTACATTCTATTCTATTCTATTTTCTATTCCATTCTATATTCTACATTCTATTCTATTCTATTTTCTATTCCATTCTATATTCTACATTCTATTCTATATTCTATTTTCTATTCCATTCCATTCCATTCTATTCTATTCCATTTTTTCATTATTCTATTATATTCTATTCCTATTCCTATTTCTATTCTATTTCTATTCTGTTCTGTTCTATTCTATTCTATTCTATTCTATTCTATTCTATTCTATTCTATTCTATTCTATTCTATTCTATTCTATTTTCTATTCCATTCTATATTCTACATTCTATTCTATTCTATTTTCTATTCCATTCTATATTCTACATTCTATTCTATATTCTACATTCTATTCTATTCTATTTTCTATTCCATTCTATATTCTACATTCTATTCTATATTCTATTCTATATTCTATTTTCTATTCCATTCCATTCCATTCTATTCTATTCCATTTTTTCATTATTCTATTATATTCTATTCCTATTTCTATTCTATTTCTATTCTGTTCTGTTCTATTCTATTCTATTCTATTCTATTCTATTCTATTCTATTCTATTCTATTCTATTTTCTATTCCATTCTATATTCTACATTCTATTCTATTCTATTTTCTATTCCATTCTATATTCTACATTCTATTCTATATTCTATTTTCTATTCCATTCCATTCCATTCTATTCTATTCCATTTTTTCATTATTCTATTCTATTCTATTCCTATTTCTATTCTATTTCTATTCTGTTCTATTCTATTCTATTCTATTCTATTCTATTCTATTCTATTCTATTCTATTCTATTCTATTCTATATTCTACATTCTACATTCTACATTCTATTTTCTATTCTATTTTCTTTTCTATTCTATTCTATTCCAATCCCAATCCTGCGATCCTCTGTCTCCCACCAAAGGCACCCCGCGATCGACCGCCGAGAGCTACGACATCGGGCTGAAGTACCCGAAGATCAAGAGGGAGTCTCCCCCCATGAGGACCTTTGAGGGAGCCATCACCAAGGGGAAGCCCTACGATGCGGTCACCACCATCAAGGAGATGGGGCGCTCCGTCCACGAAATCCCCCGGCAGGACCTGTTGAATCAAGAAAGCCAGAAGGCCCCCGACCTCGTCCCTCACGTCCGCCCCATCATTGAAGGATCCATCTCCCAGGTGAGCAAAAACCTGGAGGCCGCCATTGGGAGAAATAATCAAATCCTACAGTCCCCCCCTTTTTTGGGGGGAAGAGCTGGAAGCAATTGTCGAGGTCACAAAGTCTCACCCCTATTCAGGGCGAGCTTCCAGATCGCCATCAGATGGTGGTCTGTTCTTCTAATGTTGTTGTTGTTAGTTGCGAAGTCGTGTCTGACCCATCGCGACCCCATGGACCACGTTCCTCCAGGCCTTCATGTCCTCTACCATCTTCTGGAGTCCATTGAAGCTCACGCCTCCTGCTTCAGGGACTCCACCCAGCCACCTCCTTCTCTGTCGTCCCCTTCTTCTCTTGCCCTCCATCTTTCCCAGCATCGGGCTCTTCTCCAGTGAGTCCTTCCTTCTCATTAGGTGGCCAAAGTACTTGAGTTTCAATGTCAGGATCTGGCCTTCTAAAGAGCAGTCAGGGTTGATCTCCTCTAGGACTGACCGGTTGGATCGCCTTGCAGTCCAGGGGACTCGCAGGAGTCTTCTCCAGCACCAGAGTCCAAAGGCCTCCATTCTTTGGCGCTCAGCCTTTCTTATGGTCAAACTTTCACAGCCATACATTGCAACTGGGAAAACCATGGCCTTGACTCTACGCACTTTTGTTGGCAGGGTGACATCTCTGCTTTTTAGTATACTCTTCTAAAGTAGATAGTCCTTATATTACAACAGATCGTTTAATAACCATTCCAAGTTACAACGGAAGTGAAAAAAGTAACTTTTTTTAAAATAACATTTTATTAATTTTCCAATTTTACATTTAAGTATTTAAAAAGCAACGTGGTGACTGGGTTAATCAATAGTTCGATGACAAAATCTTTAGTACAAATCTCAAGTTACAACATCAGATATTTCTTCTTTTTTTCCCTTAACATTTCCTGTCTCGTATTCAAACTAGTACAGTTCTTATTATATCAACTCAGTAAAAACATCATTATTACATTTATCAATACACTTTTAGCTTATACGTATCTTTTTTTTTAATAAAGATTTTATTGGTTTTTTCCCCCCATCAACATATGTTAATTTTTCCAATCAACAAGTTGTCTGGAGTTTGCTATGCTAATACATGTTCAATTCCTAATCCTTCATTCTTTCCTCTAGCCAAGAATAAAATAAGTTCCAAATCTGATAGTAGTCTGTATCTTCTTTATCTTTCAACCTCATAGTTAATCTGTCCATCTCTGCACATTCCAATATTTTCCTGATTATTTCTTCTTCTGATGGCAATCCTTCATTCTTCCAGTATTGTGCAAAAATTATTCTCACTGCAGTAGTGATGTGTAAGATTAAATATAATTTCTGCTTATTAGTCTTTTCAGGCATAATACCTAGTAAAAAAAGTTCAGGTTTAAAATCCACTTGTTCACCCAATATTTTTTCTAACCACATATGTATCTTTCTCCAATAGGCCTTTGCCTTACCACATGTCCACCAAATGTGATAGTACGTGCCTATGTTATGTTTACATTTCCAACATCNCTTGTCATTGTTTCTTTCACTTGTTCACTTTCCATATCCAAAATTAACAAAAAGTTATACATTTTCTTAATTAATTTCTCATCTGAGGTTAACAAAATCTTATCAAACACAGTTTGATCCTTATAAAATCCATACATTTTTACATCTTTTTCATATCTACTTTGTATCTGTAAATGTGCCCACCAGGACAAGTTAATTCTCTGATTTTCCAGTTCTTGTTTAGGTTTTAATTTCCCATCAATATCTAGAATATCTTCATATGTCCATATTTTTTCAAAGTCTACCAAGTTCGGATGCATAAATGCCTCCATCGTTGATAACCACCCTGGAATTTTTAAATATATTTTAGCTTTAATTTTTCCCCATACTGTTGACAAGGCATTTCTTATAAAATGATTTTGAAAGTACCTACTTATGGACTCTGTTTTTCCCGTACCATAAGAAAGCGTGCCACCCCAATTGTAAATCATGTCCCTCTAGATACAATAACCTTTTGTTTCTAAAGCTTATACTTATCTTAATTGCGTTCCATCTTCATTAAACAATCCATATCCTGTTATTGGTTGATGGGCCATCTGACCCCACTGCCAAGATGCAGTCAGACATTGATTTAACCGCCATTCTAAGACCATGCTAGGTTTCTCCGCTACTTGCCCCCGTTCTCCTCTCCTCTCTTCTCCAGGGGACGCCCATCAAATACGAGAGCAGCTCCTGCCAGTCGGCCATCAAGCACAACGTCAAGTCCCTGATCACCGGGCCCAGCAAACTCTCGCGAGGCCTCCCGCCCATGGAGATGGTCCCCGAGAACATGAAGGTGGTGGAACGCGGGAAGCACGAAGACCCCAAGGCTGGAGAGATCCGCTCTCGCCACACCTCGGTGGTCAGCTCGGGGCCCTCCGTCCTGCGGTCCACGCTCCACGAGGCTCCCAAGTCCCAAGTCAGTCCTGGGATCTACGAGGACCCCAATGCCAGGAGGACCCCGGTGGGCTATCAAAGCCTGTCCAGAAGTTCACCCATGATGAACCGCGGCGAAGGTAGGTCGCCTCGGAGGCTTTGCGGCTTCCGTTAACGGTCAGCGGGACGAGGGAGAAAAAAATGGATCAGTTGAGCGGGTAATATAATAACCACTCACCTGTTCTGACTCTCTAGAACAGGGCTTTTCAACCAGTGGTACGGGTGCCACCTGTGGTCCACTGGCACCTAGCAGGTGGTACGCGAGCATCCTAGAAAAGTGGTAGCGGGGGAGCGGAATGAGCTGAACCGGTGGTAGCACCGCACAAGCCTGAGCGAGAGACGGCTGGAGCTGCAGGGCTGTCAGGGCTCAGCGGAAGCGCCAGGATCAGTGCCGCTTTCCAGCTGATCGGCGCTTCTTCGGGGCTGTCAGGGCTCAGTGGAAGCCCCAGGATCAGTGCCAGGCTCCAGCTGGAGCTCTGCACTGATCCTGGCACTTCTGCTGAGCCCTGAAGAAGCACCAATCAGCTGGAAAGCAGCACTGATCCTGGTGCTTCCGCTGAGCCAACTTCCAGAGGATCATCAGTAACTGAGATTAAACATGTTTGGGATATCTATCTATCTATCTATCTATCTATCTATCTATCTATCTATCTATCTATCTATCTATCGAGAGAGATATGAGATTAAACATGTTTGGGATATCTATCTATCTATCTATCTATCTATCTATCTAGAGAGAGAGAGAGAGAGAGAGATGAGATTAAACATGTTTGGGATATCTATCTATCTCTATCTATCTATCTATCTATCTATCTATCTAGATAGATAGATAGAGATAGAGATAGATAGATAGATAGATAGATAGATAGATAGATAGATAGATAGATAGATAGATAGATAGATAGATAGAGATAGATAGATAGATAGATAGATAGATAGATAGATAGATAGATAGATAGATAGATAGATAGATAGATAGATATAGCTATATAGATACACACACACACACACACAGGTCTTACCAAATGACAAAATTTGCAAAACAAAAAAAAAATACAGTTAAAAAAAATACAATAAAAAGAAGACAAAACATAACAAATGCTAATTAAAAAACAACAGACAAGCGAACGGATTAAAAACGACACCGACCAACCAAGGAGAAACCCAAAAAGGCCGTCCCCGATGGCCCGCCGGGTCTTCCTCTGCCGTCGGCCGTCTTGGGCGTTTCTGCCTTTCAAACCAACCGGCCAGCGCTCAGGGGTCCACCTTAGCGTCGCAGCTGGCCAAAATGGGGCAGCTTTGCCTTCCCACAACCTTTAAGCCAAACTCTTAAGCCGAATCCGGATTTCCTTCACAGGCAGCCTTTCCTCAGCGAAGCCTATGAATCACGAGAGGAAGTCCACCTTGACGCCAACGCAAAGGGAGAGCGTCCCGGCCAAATCTCCGGTCCCGGGGGTCGACCCGGTGGTCACGCACAGCCCCTTCGACCCCCACCACCGAGGGGCTGCCCCCGAGGTCTACAGGAGCCATCTTTCTCCTCACCTGGACCCCACCATACAGTTCCACAGAGCCTTGGATCCCGGTACGTACAATTATTATTATTATTATTATTATTATTATTATTATTATTATTATTATTATTATTATTACTACTACTACTATTAGTTTTTCTATATAACAGGTAAGTCCTCCACTTAAGAGCACAATTGAGCCCCCTAAGTGAGGCAGTCTTTAAGTGAGTTTAGCTCCATTTGACGGTCTAAAATGAAATAGAATAGAATAGAATGCAGAATAGAATGCAGAATAGAATGCAGAATAGAATAGAAAGAAAATAGAATAGAATTGAATGCAGAATAGAATAGAATTGAATGCAGAATAGAATGCAGAATAGAATAGAATAGAAAATAGAATTGAAAATTGAATAGAATAGAATTGAATGCAGAATAGAATGCAGAATAGAATAGAATAGAAAATGGAATAGAATTGAAAATGGAATAGAATAGAATGCAGAATAGAATGGAATGGAATGGAATAGAATAGAATGCAGAATGGAATAGAATAGAATAGAATAGAATAGAATAGAATAGAAAATAGAATTGAAAATAGAATTGAAAATGGAATAGAATAGAATAGAATGCAGAATAGAATGCAGAATAGAATAAAATAGAATAGAAAATAGAATAGAATTGAATGCAGAATAGAATAGAATAGAATTGAATGCAGAATAGAATAGAATAGAATTGAATGCAGAATAAAATAGAATAGAATAGAAAATAGAATAGAATTGAAAATGGAATAGAATAGAATAGAATAGAATGCAGAATAGGATAGGATAGGATAGGATAGAATAGAATGGAATAGAATAGAAAATGAAACAGAATTGAAAATGGAAAAGAATAGAATAGAATGCAAAATAGAATAGAATAGAATAGAATAGAATAGAATAGAATAACTGAATTGGAAGGGACCTTGAAGGTCATCTAGTCCAACCCCCTGCTCAGGCGGGAAACCATATACCATTTCAGATAAGTAGTTGTCCTGTCTCTTCATAAAAACCTCCAGTGATGAGGGACCCTCAACTTCTGAATGCAAGTCATTCAACTGGTTAATGATGCTCTCTGTCAGGAAGTTTCTCCTTAGTTCCAGGTTGCTTCTTTCCTTGATTAGTTTCCATCCATTACTTCTTGTCCTGCCTTCAGGCGCTTTGGAGAAATAGTTTCACTTCCCCCCTATTCTTTGGGGCAGCCCCTCAAACATTGGGAGGCTACTATCATGTCTCCCCTAGTCCTTCTCTTCATTAAACTAGACCAGTGATGGTGAACCTTTTAGAGACCGAGTGCCCCAAAACCGCCCCCACCTGCTCCCCGCCTGCTTTGCCCCCACCCCGCCCGCCCGCAGGGCCACCCATCGCCTCCACGGCCCGCCGTAGCAGATCGTCCAGGCGGCCCAGCAGCACCATGGCCACGCCCTCCGCCCGCGCCCCGCAGCATCATCTGCAGGCAACGGGGCGCGAGGGTGGAGTCTTGTCCCCGCTGCCCAGCTGCCATGTCCTTGGCTGCGCTGCTCCGTGCGGGCCGCACTCAGAGGCAACTCTCCTCCAGGGGGGCTGCTGGTGAGGAGGGGGCCATGGTGGGAGGCGGGGCTGGGGCGACGCGCGTGCCCACAGAGAGAGCTCTTGAGTGCTGCCTCTGGCACCCGTGCCATACGTTCGCCACCACTGAACCAGACATTAAACTAGGAGAGGGGGGATCAACCTATTCTCCAACCTGGAATTAAGGAGAAACTTCCTAACAGTGAGAACAATTAACCAGTGGAACAGCTTGCCACCAGAAGTTGTGAATGCTTCAACACTGGAAGTTTTTAAGAAGAGACTGGAATGCTTGAGCAGGGGGTTGGACTAGAAGACCTCCAGGGTCCCTTCCAGCTCTGCTCTGATTGACTGAGTATATCTTGCCTGTTTCGTCCTCCTTGACCCCCTCCAATGCCTTTTTCTCTTCCGACCCCCAGCGACCGCCTACATGTTCCAGCGGCAGCTCTCGCCCACCCCCGGCTACCCCAGCCAATACCAGCTTTACGCCATGGAGAACACGCGGCAGACCATCCTCAACGACTACATCACCTCCCAGCAGATGCAGGTCAACTTGCGGCCGGACATTGCGCGAGGCCTGTCCCCACGGGAGCAGACCTTGGCTCTTCCTTACGCAGGTGCCCGAGGTAGGGTTCCTTGGCTCAAACCAGGTTAATCTAGAACTCTGTTCGTAGAATCCCCTTGTTCAGAAGTCCCCAACCTTTTGGGCTCCATCAGGGACCGGTTCCGTGGAGCGAGCTTTTTCCGCGGACCGGAGGATGCGTGGTTTGGTGTGCTGCCTGCATCCCACAAATGGGGCTTTGCTTGTTTGTGTGGACCGGTTGCTGGCATGCCACGGCCCGGTACTGGTCCACGGACCGGGAGTTGGGGACCCCTGCCTTAGGGGTTCTGCCTCAAAACACCTGGAAGGGGATCCAGTGGGGGTCTTCAGGCAGGCTCCAAGAAGGCTCCAGACCCATTTGCACCGCTCAGGTGATCCTGAGGACACAGGTAAACCTCCAAGTGGCCTCAACAACTCTCTAAAACAGGGCTTTTCAACCAGTGGTAGGGGTACCACCTGTGGGAGATTGGCACCTGGCAGGTGGTACGCGACCATCCTAGAAAGGTGGTAGCGGGGGAGGGGAATGAGCTGAACCGGTGGCAGCACCGCACAAGCCTGAGCGAGAGATGGCTGGAGCTGCAGGGCTATCAGGGCTCGGCGGAAGCGCCAGGATCAGTGCCGCTTTTCAGCTGATCGGCGCTTCTTCGGGACTGTCAGGGCTCAGTGGAAGCGCCAGGATCAGTGCCAGGATCCAGCTGGAGCTCGGTGCTGATCCTGGTGCTTCTGCTGAGCCCAGAAGAAGCGCCGATCAGCTGGAATGTTGCAGCATCTCCAGGGTCTTGTGATTGACATTCAGATGCTTGGCAACCAATTCATATTTATGACGGTCACAGTGTCCCAGGGTCATGTGAAGGGACCAAAACCTGCTGCAACCACCCAGCAAATGGGGGGAATAAAAACTAAACACCCCCCCACCCCACCAATCCTCAACAGAAATGCTCACAACAATGGAAACCTCGGACAGGAGGAAGAGCGCCGCTGAGCGAGCAGGCAGGTGTCTTGCTCGGCTGTGGCTTGGGGAGCACTTTTTTCAGTGCTGTTATAACTTCGAACAGTCACTAAGCGAACTGTTGTAAGTCGAGGACTACCAGTACTTTATCACTTTTTTCCTCTTTTTTTGGGGTCATCAAATTTTTGGCACCTTGCTAGGCGACTGGTGGTACTCGGATGTTGCCATATCCTAAAAGTGGTACAATGGGTGTAAAGGTTGAAAAGCCCTGCTCTAAAACAGGGGTTCCCAACCGGGGGTGCTCGCACCCCCTAGGGGTATGGGACGATATTCCAGGGGGTGCGAAAACCTGGGCTTAGAAGTTTCAGAATTATAGTGTACGTGCATAATTCGTTGTCGTTATTTCGAACTTTTGCAGGGATTCGAGGGCTGTGAGAATATATCAGAAGCGTTCTAGGGGCGCGGGGTATAGAAAAGGTTGGGAACCGCTGCTCTAAAAGAAGGCAAATGACCGGCTTTCTGCAAGGAGTATAAATCCTTCCATTCCCCACCATCCCAGTCAGAGCTGAAGAAGCTTCTGGGATGGGAAGCGAAACGTCTTCAAAGAAAAACAAAGGAAGTCCAGTTGCCTCCTAAAAAAGCATCTTTGGGACAACCCTGACCTGGACGACTGAGAATCTACACAGACAGGGTCATTGGAAAATGATCTGGAAAGTGGGGGATTGCGCGGGACAGCTGACGGCCGTTGCTGTCTCCGGTCGGCTGTGCGGTTGATTTGGATTCTGAGGGGTTCGTAGGCCGGTTGTAGGTCGATGTGTCTTGTTTTGTTTCGGTCTCATCCGTGTTGGCATTTCTCCGTTCCTCTTTCGACAAGGAATCATCGACCTGAACAGCATGGCGCCCACCATCTTGGTGCCCCACCCCGGAGGGCCGAGTACGCCCCCGATGGAGAGGATCACCTACATTCCGGGCACTCAGCTGGCGTTCCCCACCAGGCCTTACAACCCACCTTCCATGTCTCCAGGTAAGGCTCAGAAGGAGGGGGGGGGCACTGAAAGATGGACGTGCCGAGTTCAGGTCCAAGGTGCTGAGGGGATTTGGAAGGGGGGGGTGGCAGACATCCACCCACCTCCCATTTCTACTTCTGATCTAAAGCTGGGCACATCTGCCCAGAACATCTGAAATGCTTTCTCTTTTTTTTTCATTTTGAATTTTTTTTATTGATTTTTCTAATTTTACATTTAAATATTTGAAAAGCAACGTGGCGGCTGAGTTAGTCCATAATTCAATAACATACAAATATCTTTAGGAAAGATCTCAAACGATTACATTAAATGTTTCCTCTCTTTTCCCCTTGGTATTTACTGTCTTACATTTTGTTGTGGTTGTTAGTTGCGAAGTCGTGTCCGACCCATCGCAACCCCATGGACAACGTTCCTCCAGGCCTTCTGGTCCTCTACCATCTTCTGGAGTCCATTGAAGCTCACGCCTCCTGCTTCAGTGACTCCATCCAGCCACCTCCTTCTCTGTCGTCCCCTTCTTCTCTTGCCCTCCATCTTTCCCAGCATTAGGCCCTTCTCCAGGGAGTCCTTCCTTCTCAATAGGTGGCCAAAGTACTTGAGTTTCAATGTCAGGATCTGGCCTTCTAAAGAGCAGTCAGGGTTGATCTCCTCTAGGACTGACCGGTTGGATCGCCTTGCAGTCCAGGGGACTCGCAGGAGTCTTCTCCAGCACCAGAGTCCAAAGGCCTCCATTCTTTGGCGCTCAGCCTTTCTTATGGTCCAACTTTCACAACCACACATTGCAACTGGGAAAACCATGGCCTTGACTATACGCACTTTTGTTGGCAGGGCGACGTCTCTGCTTTTTCGTATGCTGTCTAGATTTGCCATAGCTTTCCTCCTCAGGAGCAAGCGTCTTTTGATTTCTTGGCTGCAGTTTAAATTAATACAATTCTTACTATATCGATTAAATAAAAAATAACTGTCTTGCATTTATCGATAATTTTTGTTTACACCTATCCTAGTTGTTTTAACGTTCAATCTTTTTAGACAAATCAATGTCCCGGTTAGTTTTTCCCAGTTTTTAGATTCCCCTTAATATTTTAATTGAACGTTTAGTATTTACAATGTCCGAGTTTTAATTAATCCCAATTCCCTTGATCACAATTCACCACCGGATCTAACGTTCAGGATACTTTCTCTTGATTTCAGCTTGGCTGCCAATTATGTGTGTATCACAGGTGGTCCTCGACTTACGACGGATCACTTAGCAACCGTTGGAAGAGGCAGTAGACCCTGAAAAAGTGTACAGGCCTGCCTTGACTTAACAATCGTTCGTTCTGTGACTGTTCAAAGATATGACGGTCCTGGGAAAAACGTGATTTATGAATCAC